CTAATTAACCAAATCTAAAGGTGTTTGTAGAAGGTGTTAAACTGTTAATGAGCCCCTGCCTTTATTCTCCAGAGCACAAAGTGTACACCTACGATGACAGCGAGAGTCCCCGAGGCCGGGCTTCTCCCAGCTGTGCTGATGATGTCAGCGGGCTGGATGAGACCCCTGAGAAGCCCGATCAGAGCAGCACGCCGAGGGCCAACAGGGACGCCGAGCTGAAGCCAAAAGAGCAGGACGACCAGGGGGATCAGCTGAAAGTATCACGCTGCCTCAGTGACCCCGGTCCAAACCCGGAGGATGATGAGGACAGCACCTTCCTGCCATGAGTGAAGCACATTTTACAGGAGAGGCCTGAAGACAAGAGAGCTTTAGCAAAGCTTGATATTTATCATTTAAATTGTTGTATGTTTGTGATGTAGGATTATGCAATCTTCGTTCCATACGTTCATAACACGTTTTTTTTATCATGCAACATGCAGAATTGCCAAAGCGTGCTGCAGAGGACATTTCTTATTTGAAGTTTTTATACCCGCCTGAAGTTTCAACGTTTTGAATTTTAACATGCGCCTCAAGCCAAAGCATTTGTTTCAATGAGCTTGAAGCACCAGACGGGTGGAGTCTCCTGCCCTGAAAGCACAGATAAGAAACATAATGAGGTAAAGCCCGGCTGATAAACGCCGTTGGCTGCCAGTGTTTGTCTGTCTGTGGTATTTATCACAGACTGAAACATCTAAACAACCTTTAGATGGGTTGCCATGACGTTTTGTTCATCTATGGTGCCCAGAGGATGAATCCTCACAACTTAAAGCCGTCATAGACGTCTCCTCTGGCACCACCACGAGGTTGACTTTTTTATTATAGTTGTTTTAACTAAAATATCTCTTCAGCTATTGGATGGATTACCATGAAGTAATGACAGGGGAACTAGAGCTCACATTTTTCCTATATCGACTTCCCTTCATGGGCTCCCTGTTGAATCCAGAAGTGGATTTAAAATATTTCTCTTCACATACAGTTCCCAAAATAAGACCTCATAGTATCATATTATCTTATCAGAGCTCATTGCTCTCAAGCTGCAGGGTTACTTGTGGTTTCTAAAAGTAGAATCAGAAGCTTAGATTGGATTAGACTCAAGACTTTCCTGATAGAGCTTATAGTTTAGGCTGGATCAGGTGAGGCTGAACCATCTCTTAGATATGCTGCTATAGAGTCAGGCTGCTGGGGGTCTTCCCATGATGCACTGAGCACTTCTTTTTCACTCACCTCATTTCACTCCACATGTGTTTAGAAACCATTGTTGCATGTCATTTTCTCTTCCACAGTTTGTGTTTTGTCCAGTCTCACCGTGCAGATAGCTGCTCCTCCCTGAACCTGGTTCACGTGGAGTTTCTCCTCCGGACTGCTGGTCAATGTGAGAGCAGCACTTATTATAAAAACAAGCTATATCCAAACATGAGACTGAAGTAAAACATCCAAAACTAATGTTTTCATGACTTCGTCAGTATTTTCAGTGTACATTCAAACTCAGACATATAGACTGTTTTGATTTCAATCAAACAGGACGATTAAACATACTCCATAATAATCTCTATAAAGACCCACATTCACCTCTCTTTAAGTCTAAAGGAAGTATTCTGAAAATGTTTAGCTGAGCTATAGCTTTGAGTTTTAATAAGCCTAAGCCAAAAGTCCAAAAAAAGATACCCCTCGTGATCACTTTGCTAAAACATAATTGCCAGGCTACAGAGGTTGAAAACTGCACGGTCAGCCAGATCTGTTCTGCTCTACACGCATCAACCTAGGCGCTATAATCAGGTTTATTATGTGGCACAGTGTGTGGCCTTAAAAGTTCCGCTTTGACATATCTTGGCCAAATTTCTCTAATTGAGAAAAACTGCTATCAAAACAGATTCTTTTGCTTTAAAAAAAACAATCTGTATTGTTCCCGAGTCACACTCACATCAGCCTTTACAAAATTCCGGCATCAGATGCATAAATGTTGTATCGTAAATATGTTCGCACTGCTTGAAGTTTCATGTTGGTAACGAAAAGACCGATCTGATGATCAAAGGCCATTGACGAGCTTAAAATTAAAAAATGAGCTGCAGATATTTGTGGACAAGCTTAGCACTGTGTTTATCTCCACAGCTGTCGCTGCATGTCTGATCAGTGTTTTCTCAGGGAATTCGACAGACGGTGTGTTTGTACCACTAATACATGCTCCACAGTTTATAATGTGCCTGTTTTTGTACGCTAAAGTGTTTTCAGCTCTTGTCAAACCGAACAAGGTGTTGGTGATGTTTCCACGTTTTGTAAACAAAGCTCTTTGTGTGTGTGTGTGTGTTCCTGTTAACTGAGCATGCTCCAAGACCTGTCAGTGTTTAAGAGACTGGACTGCCTGAGCTTTTGCTGCCTGCACACATTTGCCTTAAAAGTGTTTTTGCTTTTTATGCTTTTACCAGTTGTAATGTTCTTTATATTACATATTGTTATATGTTTATTTTGCAAAAATAAAAAATTTGTTGAAATCATAAGGGAAAGCTTTAATTCCTGTCTTAAAAAAAGTTTCTTACTGCTGATTTTGTTTGATTCAAACTGTGCAGGTAGTAGAAGGAGTCAAAAAAGGTGGAGCAGACTCTACCTGTGTAGCTGCCTGGCTGCGGGAATACTTTAAAGATGTCAGGATTAAAAAGAAGATACTGTGAATGAGGACTAATGAATGAGTTCAGGCTACTGAGGTCCCTCAGTGGAAAGACAATTAAAGAAATAACAGGGAGTTTGAAATCCCCAGCGTGCCAACCAGCAGCGTGTGATGAGACTGTGACAACATCGTCTGCAGCAAACATGAACTTCAACGGCACCTGGAAAGTTTATTCTGAGGAAAACCTTGAGGAGTTTCTCAAATCCATAGGTAAGATATTTTAAAACCTAAAGGATTATTTATTTCCTGAATATATTAAATGGGGTTTTTTTGTATTTATACTTTCCAGGTGCACCTCAAATGATTATTAAAATGCGTAAGGAAGTGAAACCGGTGATCATCATAGAGCAGAACGGCAAAGACTTCACCTGCACCGTGAAGACTCCAGTCTGCACCAAAGTCCACTCGTTCAGCCTGGGAAAAGAGGCAGAAATAACAACTGTGGATGGAAGGAAGTTTAAGGTAGTTCAGGGACCTCATGCTCAACACATTTGAGTTTTTAGAGTTTTGTGAATTTTAAATTAATATTGGAAGGAGCAGTGCAGAAATGAATGATGTGATTTATGCAGGCACAGTAAGCAGGAGACGTATCTCTGCTATTTATTTACCTTTTAATATTTAATTGTTATTGACTACAACAATGATTTTTTTTCCTGGTTAGTGCATTGTCAGAGAGGAGAACGGGAAGCTGATAGCTGAAAATGACAAGTTCACCTCAGTCAGAGAGATTCAAGGGGATGAAATGATCGAGGTGGGTGGCTCTAATTCTTCTTAAAACTGCTATGAATGTGAATCATCCACGTTCTCCTAATGTGTCTGCTTACTGTTTATATCTAGACTATCACTGCTGGCTCTATAACCTTCACCAGCAGGAGCAAACGAGTCTGACCGGCCAGCTCATGGATCCCTCTCAGAATTCCTCATCTGAAGATGAACGGAGTTAACTTATAACTAAATAAATAAAGCTGAAGTTAATAAAAAAAAAAAAAGTGCAAACATTATAAAACTCTTATCGTTATTTACTGTAAGGCAGTATTTTGATTGTAGAGGGCGCTGTGGGGATTTTTAAGCGCACTCTTTCATGTGAACGAAGAAGAAGCAGGAAGGCGCCTTCTGAGTGCGCATGCGTTGCTAATTTTTCCCCCTTCGCAGCCTTTCGTTTTCCCTCTAAAAGAAAACATCCTTCTGCTACGTGAGTGTAACTTTATGGCCAGATACATGAGGCCTCCAAATACGTCTTTGTTTGTCAGGAACATCTCTGATGAATCCAGGTGAGTCCTCGTAAAGAAGCCGCTACTCGTCTACGAGTTAACTCGTGTTAATTGTAGCTAGTTAAGTTAGCCTGGTAGGCAAGGTAGGCCTCAACGTGCAAACTGAAAGGGTAACGCTGACCGGGAGCAGCGCCGCATTTCAAATCTACGTTACATTATTTTGGCCATATATGTCTTTGTTGTGGTTTTATAAACATTATTAACGTCTGTGTTGCTCTTTAGACGCGAACTTTTTCATGTTTACAGTCAAGCTATCAAAGCTAACTGGCTAACGAAAGCTCGTAAACAGCTCCGTGAAACTTTGAAATATTTTAAAGGAGGCAAGAAACCCTACAATGTGGATTTAATACGAAGGGGCAAAAATGAATGGCCTCGGCTAACGTTAACCTGATGTTTGTTGGTCGTTATCAATTTTAAACACGCGTGGTTAATTGATTAGTTACAATCTGAGAGGTCAGTTTGCTGATTTAAGTTTGTATATTTAAATGTAATTAGCACAGAAATTCTCATTTAAACTGCCAAAATACTGACCTCAGAATACACGATCGCAAATGAAAGCTCGTTTTAATGTTGTATGTGTAGCTTGTGAATTAATCTGTACCTGTAATGGTTTGTCATGTATTTGTTATTATCATATTTCATTGTTGTTGTTATATCTAGGTTTAGTCTCAGTGTTAATCTAATCTGACCACATAGGGTTGGTTTAACTTGGTTTTAAAAATACTAAACTTGCTAGATGTGTTAAAACTTTTAAATAGTTAAAGTTTTGCACTAGTATTTAAAAGCAGAGTGAAATGGGTAAATCGATCAAAAATCATCAACATTTTGTTCTCAATCATCTTAGAATTGCCTTAAAAAAATGTATGGTCCAAAGTTTGGGCATATGCAATGATTGCTGTGATGTTTTAACTCATATATTGAAAATTAAAGGTCAGTCCAACCACTTTCAGGCTTTTTAAACACATTGCAATCTGAGGCAATATTTAAACACAAACATCTCCAAAACTAACAACACAAACCAAAAAAAGTATCACTGACCTCTTTCACAACTGATTAACTCTGTTTGACATGGATGTTGAAGCTGATTTTAATCTCACTGACACTGTGACCTGAACTTAATTTCCTTAATTTCTTCAATTTTACATTTGCATTTGTGGACGGCCTTGTAACTGTTTATAATGTGTCAGTGCTACACCAATGACATTAACATGAATTGCATGTTAATATTAAAAAGTGTGGATATTTTAAAGGGATAGTTCACCTGAAGAGTGTGGCAAACTGTGAGGAGCATTTTTGCCCCTATTTTCTAAAAATTTCCCAGATTATTTTACTAAAGATTTTTTTTATTTGTTTAACAGAGAAAAAAACAATGGACTACTGGGAAATTAAACTTCTAAAAATTACAAACCCATGAACCATGTTGTGGTTCCCCTCTTGTCCTTGAAGCCTTTTCTCTTTTTTGAAATGGAACTGAAGGCAAAGGAAGGAGGGCGGGAAAAAGAAAAGGCTTCAAGAACAAGAGGGGAGGAGTGGGGGCAGAATGAGACAAGTTAGTTAAGGAAACTATGGTTGGTTTATGGTTCATGTTTAAATTATTCTTTATAAAGTTATAAACCCATGAGCCTTGGTGGCTTTTGCCTTGGAGAAAAGACCAGTCGACTAAAAATGCTTTACATACAAGGACAAAATCTTACCTGGACACAAAATAAAAGATTGTTTCTTAACCAAATTACCGTTTTTAAGCTTTATGTGCACAAGTTGAGTGTTTTTCATTTTTGCAATGACTGTGCACATATATAGGCCACAAGAAGAGAAAACCAGTTTCCTGTTAATTGAGGTCACTTGATAAAACAGAGGGTATTTTATACTTGAGTAAATGACATCCACAACATAGTTCAAATGCTTTATATTTTAATGACAGTTTTGGTATATTTTTCTTTCTTTGAAGGCGAGAAGCTCTCTGAGTGACATTAAAAGCATTTGTATGAAGGGAAAACCCTTAAGTTGTATTTGATATATGATCAGGAAGTCTTATGTTCAAAGGGGATGGATGGAAAATGGGCTGATTATGTGACCACAATTGAATCATGAGCAAAAAACACAGGCTGTTGATTTCACTGCTCTCTAATATCGAACGTAATGTACTGTGGGGCAGGTTAGTTACCATCAGCTGGGTTAACGTGAGACACCTTCGTAATACGGAAGTTACCCAAATCCTGCTTTGTCACCCAGGCCTCTCGTTTCTTGGTTGATTAATAAATAAATAAATTTAAAAAATGCCTAAAAGAGCTCCTCAGTGTTTGCCACCTGCTCTGTTTAAAAACAGCCCTGCTGGGATACAAATTGTCTTTAAGCTCTTTTAACAGGTGGATCACCCTCCAGGTAAGAGGAAACAAAATGTACTCTGAGGTGAACTGTCCCTTTATTCAGCAGCTGCTCTTCCAGCTGTTGCCACTGGTTGATGATGTAGGTAGAGATGCCCGTGATGGTCAGTTGAGTTATACTTGTATTTACGGTGTTCAGGCCTGAGGATTTGCGGCGTGAGTTTGGCCGCTATGGGCCGATAGTAGATGTCTACATCCCACTTGACTTCTATACACGTCAGCCAAGAGGATTTGCATACATTCAATATCCTTTCCCAATGACTTTTAACTGTGTATGCTGCTGCTAACAAATTATTTAAATTTCCTTTCGGCAGAGAAGATTTTTATTAATTTATTTTTTGTGATGCATTTTCTTTTTGCACATAATCTGATTGAATATCTAACACACATATTTCTCTGTTATTGCTTCAGAAAATGTAAACGCGTCCAGTTGTGGAAACCGGCCACAAAGAGTTACAAAGACCCATATAGAGTAGCTGTAAAGACACACAGACCTGCAGGATCAGAGGGAGGGAAAAGGTTGAAAAGAGAAAGTAAAGCATGAAGAGGAAAAAGGGAACGGAGACAAAGCTTGGATTTGGATATGGCGGCAAAGAATGGGGAAAAGAAAAAGAGGTTTAAGAGGAGAAAGCAAGCAGGAAACCCCCGAGTCTCTGTGGGAGTCGGTTAAAGAGTGTAAAGATCAAGATGAAGTTCAAAGTCAAGCATGGGCAAAGGTAACAAGTCTGAATTATTTTGTATCCTCCCATCCACAAATTTGACATGACACCAAAAACAGCTTTCCCTGTGACACTGATGAAACGATTTAATCCAGTCTTTTTGTGTTTGATTTTTATTTTTTTATATATAGTCACTGTCCTGATCCCTCAGACAGTTAGATGATGTGTTTGAAAAGAGCTTGCTTCATCTTTTATCTCTTAAAAAAAAAAAAAAGCAGTCAGCTGAGCGTGTTTGTTGTTTTCTCACCTGTCTTACAGTAATGTAAACGGTGTCTTTTTATAAATGTTTTTACATGGTAAACTGGGCCTCACAAATTTAACTAAAGTAAAAGTTTATGAAGTGCATGGTTCTTTTTCTTGGGAAGACTTTTATTTGTTTAGGAGAAAAAACATTTCTTTAAATTTGTGAGGCCTTAAAAAAAAGAGAAAGAAACAGAAACCTTAACCACTCAGCATATTTGAGGACGTGCGTGATGCCGAAGATGCTCTTCACAGCCTGGACAGGAAGTGGGTCTGTGGTCGGCAGATTGAAATCCAGTTTGCACAGGGCGACAGGAAGAGTAAGTGTCTGGTTTTTGTGTCTGAATTAGATTGAAACACTTTGAAATATTTTTGCTGTTGGTTTAAATATTAATCTGTGACTTCCAATGATAGAAAAATGTGTGACCAGCTCAGTTTCATCTTTTTAAAAGGAACCCCGATTATTTATTAATATTTAGGTGGTGGTCTCCTCCCCATGAAACATACCGCTTAAAATTAGACCCATTTCCAACAACATGCTGGTACTCTTTTTCAACATCTGCAGACACTGAATTTATCTGATACCAGTTTAGTATTAGGAAGCTTTCCTCAGTGTGAAGAAGAACTGGAAATTATCCTTTTATTTATAAGGAGACATCAGAATCGACTCTAACATTGTCCTGTTAACTTTTCAAAATATAGAAAAGTGAGTAAGTAGTAAGAGTAAATTGGTGAGAATGCATAAGTGTTATTCATGCAATTTATCTGCACTGGTCTCATTTCAGCTCAGTTACGCTGCTTTGGTTGTTGCATGAGCCAACGTTTACATCAGCACACTGGCTTAAGCTCCTGAGGTGTGCTGCAGTCTCATCTGGAATGATAAATGTCGCCACTCAGGCAAAAACAAATAACCTGCTCCACACATTTATTTAACATGCAAAAGATTCAGGGTTTGATGCCAGGAGGAGACAGAAATCCATTTGTGGTTGCATCAGGACAAACGGTATAAAAATCTGCTGAATTAAATATGTGGAGTCAGTGTAGTAAAAGCTTCCCAATGAGCCTTACACTAGTACACTCTTGTTCAAGCTGTTAGGCATCATTACCCAGACTGCATTGTGACATAAACAACAGTCACGAACTGAGACTGAAAGGATTCACCCCCCCCCCTCAACTTTTTAACAACCAAGAAATCTGCAGTATGTATCGTCATAGTCGGGGTTCCTTTTAAATCACGTTTTCAGATTTTTTAAGTGTTTTAAAATTAAGCATCAACCATCATGGTTTTAACTGTTTTCTGCTTTAACCACTTCTTCCTCTTCTTCTTTTTCACCAGCACCAAATCAGATGAAATCAAAGGAGCGGCGTTCCCCAGGAAGATCCTCCCGGTATGACGACTACGATCGAGACAGCCGGCGCCGGCGGTCACGCAGCCGCAGTTACGAAAGATACAGGTCGCGCAGCCCGTCTTACGATCGCCGCCGCAGACGTTCGGAGAGTCCTCGAGAGTGAGTTAATCTCTCAGAAGAGAGTCGGTCGGTCCCAGGTGTTCTTTGTGAGAAGGAAAATAACACTTTAATTTTTCCTTAGGTCTCGTGGACGGGTGTATGGAAGAGGAAGAAGCAGGAGCCGCGAGGATGACAGGTACAACTACTCTTCTAGACTAAGACCACATTTACACAGATGTAGCCTGTCTGTTGTTTTGCTTCCTAAAATCCATCTTTGTAATGTGCTACTGCAACCAGAAGGTGGAAGTAATGTAGATTTTCTTTGCCAACAACCATTAAATGACAAATAGAATAACGTGCGACTAAATGCCCTGGAATACCCACGTCACAATACAATACAACACTTGTGTCCTCAGTTCAGCTGCAGCGGTACAACACACCAGGTTGGAAAAATCGAGAGGTGCAGAAACAGCAGCTTGTTAATTTGACGTCAGCTTTGTCATACAGCGGCGACTCCAGATGGTAGAAGGACTCGAAGGAAATAAATGAAATGAGTTCAATGAAGAAAGTGTTTCTCTGCAGTTGACAGCTGCTCATTTCCATAAAAGCAGTTAACACGAGTCCTTTATTTACTTATTTTTTTCATCGACTGCCATTTGTTTTAGAGACAGCTGCAGAATTAAGACTGTCGTGTGCAGATGAACTGAAAGATGCAGGTTGGGTGTAAAGCAAAGTGTGACGCGTTTATTTATTTATTTTAGGGGCCAGTTAAAATACAGAAGGAACCAGGTGGTCCAGTGGGCCATCGTGGCTCTATGTTGTGTGTGTCAGCATCAAATTGTTGGACAGTGTCAGTCTTAAACCATTTGGCGCACACTGCAGCACAGCTGGGTGAAAACTGGTAGCTTCATGAACTGGTTTTTAAGCTCTTTTGTACTGATGTGGTGATATTATTGAACCCTACAGTCTTTTCCTCCTTTACATACATTACTGTTCATGTTATCCATGTTCTACCAGTTATTGTTAGATGTAATATGCGTCATTTCATCTGTAACGGTGCCCACAAATTAGAAATTCATGGGATATCATCAGATTTGACTCCTGGGGAGTAACCCTGATGATCCTTATGCTCCGAGGAGGAAATTCCACATTTAACACTCATCAGTTTTCTGTTTTAATGAGAAAAGAGGCGGAAAAAATAAGGACCAGACAGTCAATCACGTCACCCCACAGCCAGTTGAAAGTAAAATCTGATCTGCGCTGCATCTAAAAGTGTGACGTATTACTCTTTTACTTTGTGTGCCTTCAGATACAAGCAGAGACCCCGGAGAGTCTCCAGAGAGCGATCCCGCTCCAGATCCGCATCTCCACGAGAGAACGTCAAACCGCCGTCCACGTCCCGCTACGTCGAGGAAGAAGTCCGACAGACGCATTCCCCGTCCCGCTCCAGGTCCCGGTCTGCGTCGAGATCACACTCTCGCTCACGTTCTCGGTCCCGGTCCTGGGCCGGGCGCAAGACAGGAGGACGCTAAAGCAGAACCCACTCCCCACCCCGTTCCCCCGGTTCTGTCAGACAGAGCAGAGCTGGTCGTTTTGTTAAGTAAAGGTGTTTGTTTGCCATGAATGTAACGTCCATTTGTAGAAAGCTCGTTTTCGCTATTCCATTTTAAGAACAGCGCTGCAGCTCCTCGGCTTGGTTTTATAAAGTTGTTCGGTGATATTTCTCTTTAGGAGCAAGATTCAGCGGTTTCTGTGCTCAGCCTGACGGGAAGAATATCCAGTCTTTTTATATATACAACCAGTTACTGATGATTTTTGTTTTCTAAACCCTATGCACCCACTTTTGCTAAACAATCCCTGACATTCAGTATTCTAAGGAAGTATTGAGTCTGTTGGTGAACCAAATGCATCTTTGTGTGTTTTATAACTAATCATGTACTAGGTACTTTACTGTCAGCCAGTTTCACCGCTGTTTTTTAAATTTACATTTGTTTGACAGCGATAAAGCATCACCATGAGATAAATGTGTTCAAGATTTTTTTAAAGATGTGTTTTATGGAAGGAACCGAGAAATTCTTGAAAGAAAAGGCATTAAAGCTGATGGCGTGTGTCTGCAGTTTAGTCAAGTACATGAGCACGAGTGCTAAAACGCACAGAGGTGATGCTGTGGTCCCTAAAGTGTTAAAGACGTCAACAACAAACTGACCTATACGGTCATTTGTTTTCTCTTTGTGGTGTTTTCTGTAAGAGTTAAACCTTTTTTTTTCTGTTTTTTTTCCCCCCCAAGTTATTGTTTCTTTGAGGAGAAGCAGGTTTACTTGACGGTGTTTCTCAGAACAACTCGTGTCGCTGCATGTTTTATTCTTATCTTCTATCTTTAGTAGGGAAAAAAAACTGTTATTTTGATTAATAAATGGTTAACTTTCGGTTAAAGAAAACATTGCGTGGCTTGTTTTTGTACTTGCTTGACCAAAGTTCATTATTGAACACAATTCAGAGTTTTCTCCTCCTCGGAGACCTCCGTGTCCTGTGGATCCCCAGCGTCTGCCTGGAAAACGGAGCAGAACAGTCTGTGAGCACGGCCCCGTCCATCGATTTCCTTTTAATGGAACAACTGAAATTAGATTCTGAGCAAAGAGGCAGCCATGGATGAAATCGGACGTGTCTCATTGATCGCCGTACTGGAAAAATGCATCAGTCAGATGAATAAAGCTGCAGATGGTGGAAGTCCTTAACCATGCAGTCACCAGTATGAGCATAATCACAAAAACAAGAGGCTGCACCACGATGATGCTGTAATCAGACGGGTTTATGGGTTTCTCTCAGTCCCTGCCACTCCTGGTCAGTTTAATCCAGCTGTAATCCACCCTGTAAAGATTGTAGTGTCACATCTATGATGTCAGTTATCCTTAACCCCCCTAAAACTCCTGTTTGGACTTTTTGTACCTGCCACCTTCTAAAAAAAACACAAAATGTACAGAGATGAGTAACAGCTGAAGATTGAGCTTCATTTATTGTTTCTACTGCTTTTCTGAGCAGAACTGAACAGCTACATCACCAGTATCATTTAAGGTGAACTATGAGGGAGGTTTAATACTCAAGATCAGGTTTATTTTCAGTATAAGGCTGAAGATTTGGTAAACAGACTGATTCCTATAACACATTTCTATTTGAATACTTTAAACATGTCTCAATCACACAAGCACTTTCTCTTTGTTTACACTCCAGTGAACAGGTTGGGAGCATAAACACATACTCGGGGTTCAGTGTCTTGCCCAAACATACTTTGACATGCAGACTAGAGCAGCTAGGGTTCAAACCACCAGCCTTCCAAAGATGACCTGAAGATGAGCCACAGCCATCTATGTTTAATAATTAATGTGTTAAGAAATTAGTTGTGAGGCGGGGCTCCTGGAAGCAGCTTAATATTAGTCTTGTGTGTGAATGTAGGGGAAAATATTCCAGCCTGCAGGGTTGGAAACGTAGATGATCATTACCAGGACATGACCCCAGGCTCACATTGTTGTGATTTACACCACCACCAACCTGCCTATTCAGTG